ACAATAGAGGGTCCTGGACAGAGCTGGAGAAAAGTGTAGAACAAAATTCTAACTCACAAAAAAGACCAGACTTACTGGCCTGAGACTGGAGAGAAACCACGAAGAGTATGGCCCCAGACACCCTTTTCGCTCAGTAATGAAGTCACTCCTGAGGTTCACCCTTCAGGCAAAGATTAGACAGCCCCATAAAACAAAACAAGACTAGGGGTGGGGGGGCGGAAATACTAAATAGGCAATAGATAAGTGGTATCTTGGGGGAAGGGTGAGACAGTACACAATACAGGGGAAACTAGCACAACTTGTACAAGGAAAGGTCATGGAAGCCCCATAGACACATCCAAACTCCCTGAGGGACTGAATTGCTGGCCGGAGGGCTGTGGGGACCATGGTCTCCGGGAACATCTAGCTCAATTGGCATAACACAGTTTATAAAGACAATGTTCTACATTCTACCTTGGTGAGTAGTGTCTGGGGTCTTAAAAGCCCGTGAGCAGCCATCTAAGATACCCCACTGGTCTCATCCCTTCGGGAGCAAGGGAGAATGAACAGAACAGGATACAAGGAAAAGATCAGTCCGAAGGACTCATGGACCACAGCTACCAAGGCCTCCACCGGACTGAGTCCAGCACAGCTAGATGGTGCCCGGCTACCACCACTGACTGCTCTGACCAGGATCACAACAGAGGGTTCTGGACAGAGCTGGAGAAGGATGTAGAACATAATTCTAACTCACAAAAAAAAAAAACCAGATTTACTGGCCTAGAGGAGACTGGAAAAACCCCGAGAGTATGGCCACCAGACACCCTTTCAGCTCAGTGGTGAAGTTATCTCCGAGGTTCACCGTTCAGCCTGGAAGTGGACAGCCCCATAAAACCAAATCGGACTAATGAGGTACAGTAGTCCAGTGACAAGGGCCAGAAGGCAGAAGGGGACAAGGAAGCTGGTGATAGGGAACCCAAGGTTGAGTAAGGATATTGTTGATGTGTTGTGAGATTGTTAACCATTGTCATAGGGCAACGTGTAGTAACTGTTAAATGAGAAACTATTTTGTTCTGTAAGCCTTCATCTTAAGTGAGAATAGCAGCACAACTGGAAGAGCGTAGTCAATGTCACTGAACTGTGCATGTAGAAATTTTTGAAATAGTGTATCTTTGGCTATGCCATTTTCACCAAAAAAAAAAAGGTTGAGAAGTTAGAGGGTTGACATGTTGTGGGGTTGTTAACCAATGTCATAAAACAATATGTGTACTACTGTTTCATGAGAAACTATTTGTTCTGTAAGCCTTCACCTGAAGTACAATTAAAAAAAAAAAACAAGACTAAATGGGCACCCAGCCCAGGGGCAAGACTAGAAGGCAGGAGGGGACAGGAAGGGTGGCAATAGGGAACCCAAGGTGGAGAAGGAAGAGTGTTGACATGTCATGGGGTTGTTAACCAATGTCATAAAACAATATGTGTACTGTTTAACGAGAAGCTAGTTTGTTCTGTAAACCTTCATCTAAAGTACCATAAAAAAAAAAAGTACAGTTTAAAAAAAAATATTTTAGTCTTATTAGGTCATTCCTATCGTTAATAAACAAGAAACTGATCTAAAAAGATTATACTTTCATGAGGCATTAAAGCCACAGCTATCCCAATTCACCATGAAAATGAAAAACGTATCAGCCTCCCGGCTGCCTAAGAGGGTAGACTATGGGGCAGCCTCCCTCCCTCTGGCAGCTCAGAATCTCAAAGGGCCCAAGACCACCACTGCTCATAGGCTGGCACAAGACCCACCCACAGTTGATCACGCACTGGCCGGGTTAATTCTTTTCCTGGAGAAGAGCTGGATGCCAAAGCTCAAAGTCCAGGTTAAGCTGGGGAGCAATGAAGCAGTGCTGACAAGATTCCTTAAAGATCAGCACTTCTTCACAGGACACACATCCTTTTGCTATCTTATCTCAGTTAGAGGAGCCAAACGAAACCCACTGCTGTAGAGTCAATTCTGACTCATACCAACTCATAGCGACCCTACAGGACATAGTAGAACTGCTCCATAGGGTTTCCAAGGAGTGGGTGGTGGATTTAAACTGCCAACCTTTTGGTTAACAACCAAACTTAATCACTGTGCCACCAGGGACTTTATTAACCACAACTGCCTTCTGGACTTAGTCCCCCTGTGCGGCTGCCAAGGCTGAGGTTCACTCTTCTCCACCCCTCAATAAACTTTTAGACGGTTCTCAGTCTACGGTGGCCCCCGACGGCGCTAGGCACACACGTGGCTCTCTCCTGTGTTGCAACGTTCACCACGGCACGACCTGTGTCAGCCCAAGACTAGGAAGCACCTGAGACGGGATGGCTGAATACATTTTGGTACATCCATACAGACTATTAAGATGAGAACTCAGCTTCACTCCCGTGATATTCCTGCCAAAAACGCCTCACCAGAATCTCATCATGATGCAGCATCTGACAAACCCAAAGTGAGGGACATTGGACAAAACTGCTGGTCTCTAATCTTCAAGTGTCACCATTTTGAAAGTTCAAGGAGGCTGAGGAAGACTGAAGAGACAGATACTAAAGGCCACCTGTGATTCTGAACTGGGTCCTTCTGCTATGAGAACATCACTGGGGCAACCAGCAAAACTTGAATGGGGTCTGAGGACTAGATGCAGTCATGAAGAAGTGTTAAAATCCTGATTCTGACTGTTGTGTTGTGGTTATGTGGGGGAAACTCTCTGCTTGTAGGAATTACGCACTGAAGTATTTGGGATGGTGGGGGGCACCAGGCTGGCAACTTACTGTAAAATGGTTGCTCTGCACACACAACCTCTCTGTAAGTTTGTTGACTGTTTCCGAATAAGAACTTTTGAAAGATGAGGTAGCTCTTTATGTACTGATATAGTATTTTGTTTTTTATTTTTTAAAAGTTCAGCAATGTGTATTATAAACTCCTTTTTTGCTGTAAGTCAGAAGCACCTCGATGGCAACGGGTTTGGTTTTTTTTTAATGTAAAACTGAAGAAAAATATGTAAGCAATTGCTTAAATATGCATGAAGTCTCTGGAAGAATCCCTAAGAGACTGGTAAGGCTGGCTGCTTCAGGGAGGGAAGCCAGGTGCCTGGGGGTCAGAGGGAGCAGTCCTTACACACTTTTTGGAAATTTGAACCATGTGGATGTTTATTGTACAAATAAAATTTAAATTTAAAAAATTAAAAAGATCTGTGCTTCGGGTTTTTTTTTTAATTGTGATTTTGGAGAAAATTTACATAGCAAATTAGGTTCTCCTTTAACTATTTATATACATATTATTCAAGAAGCCCTGGTGGTGCAGTGGTTAAGAGCTCGACTGCTAACCAAAAGGTTGGTAGTTCGAATCCACCAGCCACTCCTTGGAAACCCTATGGGGCAGTTCTACTCTGACCTATAGGGTCACTGTGAGTCGGAATCGGCTTGACGTCAACAGGTTTGTTTTTTTTTTAAATATGTATTATTCAGTGACGTTGATTACTCTTTCCACAATGTGGCAGCATCCTCATTATTTCCATTCTGGTTGGTCTGTTTCCATTAATCAAGCTTCCTTGTCCCCCCTTGCCTTCTCATCTTTGGTCTTGGGTAAGCGCTGACCATTAGGTCTTATTTAGATAATTGTTTAGAGGAGCACAGTACTCATGGGTGACATTATTTATTTTATGAGTCACTCTGTCTTTTGGCTGACAGGTGACCACTGGAGGGGTATGAGTTCCAAGTTTGCAGGGTATCCCAAGGCAACAGTCTCGGCGGCTCCCCTAGACTCTACCGGTGCAGAACCGTGCTTTGGTTTTGAGGATCCCTTGAACTATGGAGCCTATGTAAGTATACACATATAGAAATACAGAGGAATAAACAACTATTTAAACTGGTTCTCTCAGAAGAACCGGGACTGGGTGAGGAGAAGTTTTCATTTTCTGACACATTTGTATAATGCCTGAATTTTTAGTGATGAACATAATTTTTATAATCAGAAAAAAGTATTAAAAATAAAATACTTATTATCTGCCCATAGTGCTGTGGAGAGGGATTTTGTTATACTTGGGTTCAAGTTACTCTCCCCGTGACCCTGTGGTCTTCAGTCTCCCCAGCCCCCGTTTTCTCAATCTCCTCAACAGGGGCTAAGAACAGCTGCCAGGGAGGACTTATTTCAAGGATTAAAAAGGATACATACTACAGCTGCAGGGGGCTGAATTTCTGCTGAGGGTGATGAACACTTCCAGAGGCGGACAGCAGCGATGGTGCAGCGCACCTGGGGGACTGTAGTTAATGTCCCTGAATTAGACACTTAAAAATGATTACAATGGAGAGCTTTCTGCTGTGATTATTCTACCCAATAAAAATTTTAAAAATTGATCAGGACTTGAAGGTCTGGATTTTTCAAAGACACAGATGGTCTAACCACCCCATCCCCTGTGAGGTGATGAGAAGGGAGCGAATCCTACGTGGACACGCGTGCCCGACAGGCAAGCCCCCCTGCCCTACAGGAAAGCGGGGCGGTGATATCTGGGATAGAGCCAGGCTAGAAATGAGCCACTGGGTAAAACAAAACCCAGGGCAAAAACTGCACGACCCGGAAGCAGTTATGCAGCGCACTGAACACCAACAACCAAAAGCTTTTCAGCGGAGTCTGTTAAGCACATACTTGCTAAGCTGACAGAAGCTGACCTAGGTTCAACGCGTATGAAAGGAAGGTATTTGTCCTGGAGTCTAAAGTCTGGGATCCGGTCACGTAAAGGGTTAACAGTACAGTATGACAAATGGAGGTGGGGGGGAGTGTTTCCAAAAATCTGGAACTGTATTTTGGGGAGTAACTAGTTTAACATGCAAACAAATTTATAATTAAAAAGGAAAAAAAAAAAGGAACTGTTCATATAAAGATAATGAATTACTGACTAAGGTTTTTAGAAGAAAAGGGGTAAATAAAGCAGCACGAACTTACCTGAGTCAGAATCGACTCAACGGGGCAACAGGTTGGGTTTGGCTCTTACCTGGGTATTGTCTGTATAATGAAAATATCCTGGCCACGCACAGATTCTTTTATTTCAACTCTTGTCTCTGAAAAATAAAAATGTTCTCAAGTTTTAAGAAGAGCACTCGATGATGCAATATAGCAATCTGGAGGGAGCAAAAATCTATTTAAACCAACCCCTCACGTGGTACACCAAGATAAATTCTTAATTAAGGGAAAACTCGCTGCCGGCGATTCCGACCCACAGCAATCCTGTACGACAGAATAGAACTGCCCCCTAGGGTTTCCCAGGCTGTAAATCTTTAAGAAGCAGACTGCCACATCTTTCTCCAGCGAAGCAGCCGGTGGGTTCAAACCGCCGACCTTTTGGTTAGCCACTGAGCACTTAACCACTGCACCACCACAGATTTCAGGATTACATTACACATATAAGAAACAGTAAAGCTAGGAGGGAAATAAGGCAAAAATAGGAGGTAAAGTGACCAACAGGTCTACCTAGAGTCTCAAGGTCCAATAAAGAAAGCCCAGCACTAAAATAAAAACACAAACAAGACACCTGGGGAAAAGTCTACAGCAAACAGAGAGGCAAAAAGTGACGCCCTTATTATTCTCTCAACAAATGCCGAGTGCCTGCTCTGTGCCAGGCCCGTGCTGGGCTCCCAAAGTGGAGGCCCTGGGCAGAGGGGATGAAGACTGGCTGAGGAGAGACAATATTATGCCGGAGACGCTGGCAAACTCTCCAGGTCCTACATACCAGAGACACAGCAGGGGTGAGGAAGGAGAATAACAGGGCTGGGACAGGAGGGCCTCGCTGCCTGCCTGACGGTGCAGGATGGAGGGGAGGGAGGGAAGATGGGAAGATGCGGGGCCGCGGGGGCCGGGCAGAGGGGCAGCCAGTGCACCTGAAGTCGCTGGGAAGCAGAGTGAACAAGAGCAAAGAGAGAAGGGTCAGGGAGCCAACAGGGGCCAGAGACACAAGAGTCTGGACTTCATCCCAAGTGTGACAGGGAAGCCACCAGAAGAGCTGAGGCTGGGAGGACGTGATCTACTTGTTTTAAAAGATCAGACTGCCGTGAGAAGAAAACCATGCAGGGCAGGAGAGGCACCAGGAGACCACACGGCTTGTTTCCTAGGGAGTCCAGGCAAGCAGTAACGGTAGCTGGACTAGGGCGGCGGCAGTGGAGGTGGTGAGAAGTGGTCAGGTTTAAGCTGTGTTCCAAGGTCAGAGAGCACAGATGCGCTAATGGAGGTGATGGAAGGCGAGGCCAATGAGGAGGCAGGACCCGGTTCCTGAAGGCCCACGAGACTGCTGAGGAGCCGGCGCTCTGCTGTAAAGGGCTTCAAGCAGCAGTAGGACAAAAACATTTACATTTTAGCAAGACCCGGGCAGAGGTGTGGAGAGTGGACTAGAGAGGGTAGAAACGGAGGTAGGAGACATGCTGGGAAAGTACCCCAACAGCCAAAGTGAGTGTGACGAGGGCTGGGGCAGCAATGGGGGCTGGAGCAGAAAGTCTTCGTGAAACTGCCTTTTTCTGCTCAAGAGCATCCTTTTATGAGACCCCCAGATGTCATCACTGTTGATATTTTAAGCTCACGGTCGCTAAATAGAATATCTCACCTGCATGTATTCATCTTAAGGTTTTTAAATACCTACAGCTCATCCCGACTCGTCTGGCAGCGGATGTCTCTAACGTCACCAAGCAAGTCTCCATTAAACCATCTTGCCCCTGCTCAGGTCCTTTGTTTTTTTAGATCCACAAATGTCATTAAACCTCAGTAATTCAGCTTCCTCTAACTACTTATACCAAAGAAAGAGAAAGGGAAGCAGAGAATCATAGACCCAGGCTTTCAACTTTGCAAAAATAATTCCAAATTATTTTATATCAATTTCCCTTTGTAATAAATGGAAATGCAGATCAAAACTACAATGAGATACCATCTCTCCCCAATACTACTGGCACTAATCCAAAAACCACAAAATAACAAATGTTGGAGAGGTTGTGAGGAGACTGAATTCTTACGCACTGCTGGTGGGAATGTAAAATGGTACAACCACTTTGGAAAATGATATAGAACCTCTTTAAAAAGCTAGAAATAGAAATACCATATGATCCAGCAATCCCACTCGGAGGAATACACCCTAGAGAAATAAGAACCGTCACGCGAATAGACATATGCACACCCGTGTTCACTGCAGAATTATTCATAATAGCAAAAAGATGGAAACAACCTAAATGCCCATCAACAGATGAATGGATCAACAAATTGTGCTACATACACACAGCGGAATACCACGCGACGATAAAGAACAATGATGAATCTGCAAAACATCTCACGACATGGATGAACCTGGAGGACAGTATATGAGTGAAATAAGTCAGTCACAAAAAGACATACATTACATGAGACCACTATATAAGAACTCAAGAAAAGGTTTACACACAGAAAAAAATATTCTTTGATGGTTACGAAGGTGGGGAGGGAGAAGGAGGGACTATCACTAACTAGATACGGACAAGTGTCAACTTTGGTGAAGGGAAAGGTAACACACAATACAGGGGAAGTTAAGACGACAGGGTATTTGCATCATTTTGGAAAAAGAGGGAAGGAGGCCCTACAAAGGAGAACAAAGAAGTCAAAATTTAAAGGGAATAATGCAGAATGATGATTCAAGCCCTTAACGTTCAAGAGATGTTTCTGTGTTAAACATGCCAGCTCAACGGGTTCTTCGATAAGACCACAAGCATGAGCAACAGAAAAAAAAACAAAACTGGACTTCATCAAAATTAAAAACTTCTGTAGTAAAGTCATTATCAAGGAAGTGCAAAGACAACCTACAGAATGGGAGAAAATATGTAGAAATCATACATTATGGACTGAGTTGTTTCCTCCAAAAATATGCATTGTAAATCCTAACCCTATACCCAGTGGCTCTGTGTAAGAAAGACCTGGAGATCTGCTTCCATAAAGATTACAGCCCAGAAAACCCTGTGGGGCAGCTCTACTGTCAGTGGGGTCGCTATGAGCAGAAATGGACTAGGTCGCACTCAACAACAATATACCTGTGAATATAATCCCATTGGGAACAGGGGTTTTTTTCTGTTATGTTAATGGACCCATATCAGTGTAGGGTGTGTCTTAAGGCAATCACCTTTGAGATAGAGAAGTGCAGATTAGGCACAGAAGAAAGCAGACACAGGGGGAAGACCTACGCTATTTGAAGACTTTGGAGGCAGACCAGCCTACAAGCCCAGGAACTCCAATAACTGCTGGTTGGAGAAGCTGAGACAAGGATCTTCCCCAAAAGCTGATGACCTGAATTCGGACTTCTAGCCTCCTAAACTGTCAGAAAATACGTTTCTGTTCATTAAAGCCACCCACTTGTGATATTTCTGTTATAGCAGCACTAAGAAACTTAGACATCATATATCTGCTAAGGGCTTAATACCCAGAATATATAAAGAACTCCTATAAAAGACAATACAATTTAAAAAATGGGCAAAGGACTTGAATGACATACAAAGATATACAAATGGCCAATGAAAAGATGCTCAACATCATTAACCATTAGGGAAATGCAAATCAAAACCACAATGAAATACCACTTCACGCCCACCAGCAGGCTACTACAAAACATCAGTAAACAACAAGTGTTGGCAAGGATGCGGACAAACTGGAACCCTTGTGCACTGCTGGTGGGAACGTAGAGCTGCTTTGGAAAACAGCTGGTGGCTTCTCAAAAAGTTAAACACAGAACTACCACATGACCCAGCAATTCCACTCCTAGATAAATATCCAAAAAAACTAAAAGCAAGGATTCAAACAGACACTTGTACACCAATGTTCATCACAACATTATTTACATTAGCCAAAAGGTGGAAACAACCCAAGTGTCCATCCAGATGAATGGATAAACAGAATGTACTACACCCATACAATGAAATACTATCCATCATAAAAAGGAACGAAGTTCTGATACATGCTACAGCGACATGGGTGAACCTTGAATAGGCCAATTCACAGAAAAAGAAAGTAGATTAGAGATTATCAGAGGCTAGGGGAGGACAGAAGGGGAAAGTTATTGCTTAATGGGTACAGAGTTTCTGCTTGGGGTGATGAAAAAGTTTTGGAGATAGATGGCGCTGATGGTTGCACAACACTGGCATGTAATTAATTTATTAATGCCAATGAATTGTACACTTAGAAATGGTTAAAATGGCAAATTTTGTTATATATACTTAACAATAAAAATGAAGAAAAAAAAAGTCAGCTGATTAAACATAGCTTTAAGAATAAAGGGTGTTTAAGAAAGAATTTAACTTACCTCCATTGGTCTCCTGGTACACAGCAGATTTTCCCAATTCAGCACCAAGACGCCTACAGGCAGAAAAAAAAAAAGGCAATCATAATTCTTTTAAAAAAAATCATATGCACGTGTTCAGCAGAAAGACTAAACTATACCAGACTGGCATTCATTGCCAAGAAACAATTTCGAAATCTCAAATTCACGAAGAACTAAACCCTTTATTGTCACTCCACCACAGCAGCCTCCAGGGCTCACCATTTTGTAATAATCACTACGTTATTGCAAAGAATCCACAACCGGTGTAATGTCTGGGTCATTGTTTTCTGATTATAATGATTGTCTTGGAAAAAATCACTCCCACACAAACGGTCACTAGCAGCAATGATTCTAAACACACAAGCCAGAAGTAGATGCCTCAACTGTCAGAAGCAGAGAGCCTAAACGAGACTTCCGTGACATCAACCACGTGCAGGATCCTGATTCGAACAAATCAACTATAATAAGCCACGTTTCAGACAATTAGAGAAATAAGAACAAGGACTAGATACTAGATGATATTAAGGAATTAATGCTAATTTTTTGTAATAATAGGGTAGGTAAAAAAATTGTTTGCATTATCATTGTTAGGAGTGAAATATGTCCGGGAAGAATCTGTTTTAACATAGTCAAGCCCCACCTCCCTAGAAAAAAAGTGAGGGGTGAGTGAACAGATGAAACAAGATTAGCAAAAAGTTGCTAAACGTGGAAACTGAGAGGAGGACCCCTTTCTGTTAATTATAACACACACACAACTTGGAAATAAATACACACATCTTGGGAAAGTGTACACCTATGTTTTTTACTGATTAGAGTACACCATCCAGAAGTTTGAAGATCCTTGCTTAAAGTTTAGATATGGATGGAATCCGGGAATGTCGCGGTCTCCGGTCATCTAATCTTCAAACTTTGTTTAGCAGTAAACCCTTTTTCAGATTACATCTTACTGAGAAACTCAATATATAAAATAGACAAGGGAAGTATTTACAGTACTTGTTATTTGCAATAATGTAAAACCTTTCTGGAACGAAGCAGGGAAGAATCTAATATACGAAGCAAAAAATAAAAATAAAAACACCGACTTTTAAAATGCACCCCTCCTCCCCCTGCTTTCTCTCCACAAGGTCAGTGTGGAGTAAATCTGACCCCATTTAAACAAACACAAGCTTGATATTTAAAGTTCTTTTAGCTGGCTTCAGAAAGAAAAGACAAATAATCAGGGGTTTGAAATTGAAACTACACAGTAGATGGCAGAACTTTTGGAAAAGGTTTTTTTTTTTTTTTTTTTTTTTAAAGTTTTCTAATCTTAAAACTCTAACTGAGAAGAAAATAAGAATATATAAAAAAAATACAACTGAAGTTTTCTCCTTCAACATCACCATCTAGGATTTAAAAATATATTCATGTAATTAGTTATCAATTCTGGAAAATTCACAGAGAAGCATTAACATAAATTAAGTGCTTAAAATGTGAAAATGACTTTAAACGTTAAAAGAAAAGCTGTTCATCGTGTCATATCCTAGCAGGTTTATCAAGAGAGGGCCCATAAGGCTCTTCCTTTACATTAGCACTCTGGAATCCTCCAAAAGACTGAAAAGCCAACTAGAAGAAAGAAGTCATTTAGTAAACAGGTGTTATTTCAGAGGTCCACTATGAACCTCTGCTCAGCTAGATGCTTCATCTACATTATGTCTTTCACAGTCACAATATCCTTGGCGGACAGACTCATCCTCATTTTACAAATGAAGTTCAGGAACAGTCTCTTGCCCAGTGTCACAGAGCTAGTAAGTGGCAAGGCTGGGAGGGCACCTCGGAGCTGTCAGGCTGCTTGAGACCACCAGCTTCCTTGGGTTTAAAAAAAAAAACAAAAAGAGACAAAGACTTTACTTCTAATGACATGTAGTTGTGGTGACTTGCCATCGAATCGATCCCGACTTACGGACACCCCATGCGTGCCACAGTAGAACTGTGTTCCACAGGGTTTTCAAAGGCTGCCTTTTCCGAAGCAGACTGCCAGGTCTTTCTTCTGAGGGGCCTCCTTTCGTCTAGTAGTCCAGCGCATCACCCAGCCACCCAGGGGCTCCTTCAACTGACTTATCCAGAGCCAAAGTTGATTTACAAAATATGGTTAGGCCTATTATTTCTATCACCAACTCCAACAAACCGGTTTCCTTGGAGGCTGCCCTGTTCTTTGCTTCTGCTGCTGCAAACACGTGTACCTCCAGCCTTCCATCTGGAAGGCCCTCCTGCCACCCCCACCCATTGTACCCTTCCAACAGGGCCTTCACGTTATAACGACATCCTGCTCCGGTCCCCATAAATGAGTCTTGGGAATCAAGATACACCGAGTCACAGGCGGAGAGGGAGCCAAACCCACAGAGCCCCTCTCTGCCAGGCACTCATTCCGGGGGTCTCAGAATGAGCTCCCCAGTCAATCCTCACCGCCGCCCTGGGATGTGGGAGTAGGGGAGATGAAGGAAAGGCGAGCGCTATAAGAAACTGGGAAGGGGGGATGTCTTAAGTCAGCCATACGCTTCTCAGCTACAAAATTGGGGGGGTGGGGGTGGCTTCTGTCATCTCCAAGCGTTTGTCCAACTCTGAAACGTTATGATTCCGCGACCCCCTCACCCAGATCCAGGGCCGTAGGGCCAAACGACCCGTGGGTCGGGGGGTGGAGTGCGGGAGAGGAAGACCCGGCCGTCCCACCCGGCCGCCCTCGCCCTGCTCACTCGGTGATGCGCTTGGCCAGCTCCGTGCAGGCGGCCGTGGAGTTGGCCGAGAAGACTCGGTAGCCCGTGCGAGCGGCGTTCATGGCCAGGCGGGCGGCGGGGCGGGGTCGTGGGAGGCGGAAGGCCGCGGACGCGGAGAGCGGGGGCAGCAGCAGCAGCTTCTTGGGCATCGCCGGCCCGAGGCGCGGTTACAGCCGGCCCGCGCGGGGCTCGACCAGGGCGCTTCTGACTGACCGGCCGCGAGGCCCGGGGTCCGGCGGGGGAAGGCGCTAAGAAACCCAGCACTGGACGGGGAGACCTGAGACCCCCGACGCTCCTCGCACCAAAGGCCACAAAGAGCTCCGGCGGAGCCCCACGCGCTGCAACCGCCCCGCCAGCCACCAAAGAGCGAAAGGCGAAGCTGTCGCTGCCACCGCCCCCTCCGGGTATACGAGCGGCGCCGGCTAGAGCGCCTGCAGAGCCGCCATCTCAGATGAGGGCAGGGAGGGGGGCAACTCTTTAAAATCCCGTTCCTCTGGGGGATGGATATAGATTCGCTCAGCCGCCTGCTTTTGCCGCTTCCACAGGAGTTCTTTTATTCTCCCTTTCTTGGGCGGTGCAGCCTGACTTAGTAGAGGTCCCAACCGTTTCCAAGTTTTCTGCCAGGATCCAAAATGTCTGCCCCCAGGGATGACTAGACGACCTAGCTCTGCACCTCTATGATAACACAGCGCATACGACCTCCCAGGCGCGTGCGTTCAGCTGGGATTTATTTGAAAAGTGGAGGACGGGGTGTTTTTTAGCTAGTAGCTTTCGGTACTAAAATTACTCCTGAGCCAGGTCTAAAAGGCTTTCCCCAAAGCTGACTTCAACCTTGTACCTGCTTATAAGGCAAGGTTCCCTGAACGTGTTAGAAGCACTGCTGCCAATCTTTGCTCTCGTGGTTCCTCTCCCCTTCCAAATGCCCCTTGCCTTTGATTTAGGAACTAATATTGGAGTTATTATTCCCCGTCCTTGAGCATAGAGAATGTAACCCAGCTGGAGCTGGGCTCACAAGGACACATCAACTGGGCCCTGCGGTATAAAGACAATAGCTAAGATAATCATGGAAAATATCTTTTAGGGAAACTTTCACATAAAGCCAATCAAAGAGAACACAAGAGACTTCCCACATTTTACTTTTTTCTAGTAGCATTTAGTGAATAGAAATTTGTTGGACCAATGGAGACCCTTCTGACTCTCGTTACTGAAATCTGTACCAATGATTGTTAAGAAAGACGATTCAAAACGTAAGATCACAGTTTCTAGCCAATCTGTGAAAAGGTGAAGCTTTCAAGGGTTTCGCGCATTTGTGATGTTAATGTATACTGATGGCTCTGTAATATTCTTTGGACTCGGGCAGACACGGCTGTGGCAGCATGCTTGTTTGTCTTCCCACTTTTGCCTTTTTGAATATATGCCGAATAAAACTTTCTTTTTGCTTTACTAAACTTTGTGATGTTTTTCCCCTACAACACCGTTAAGACCCCTAGCACCGCGTCTGCTTCGGGAGGTTTTTTTTTTTATTTTTATTTTTTACCACGAGCATCCACCTTTACCCCTGCAAGTTCCATGTGTAGTTGCTTGCATTTTTATTTACCTTTGTGAACACTTGTCTTCCCAACTAGGATGGAAGCCCTCCTAGAACCGGGATCGTGTATTACTTGATAGTGGTTGCTGTCTAGTCGACTCCAGCACGTGGCAACCTTACGTGTAGCGATCGTTGCTGTGATGCACCATCTTTACATTCAGTGGCATGTTTGGGCTCATCTTCCAACAGTATATGCTGTGTTGGAACTCACACTTCCGAAAATCAGCCAGCGAAAACCCTCTGGTCACGAGGGATGTCGCTGAGCCAACCAGTATTTTGTTCCTGCATAGGCTCATGTTGAGTAGGGGTTGCCATTAGTCGGGGGCCAACTTGATGGCAGCTAACAGTAACAGAGCAGTGTTGTGGGTGCCAGAGGCAGAAAATCAATACCTGCTGAGTAAGGTCCAAGAAGAAACTAAAGAGCAGGGAAGCATTTGAGTCCCTAGTTATCAGCTGCTCCTGGACAAGGGGATCTGCAGGGATCGCGCCTCCCACATAGACTCTACCATGTTCTAAGAATGTCCTTCAGGGACTCTCTTGTGACATTGGGACAGTGAGGGAACAATGAGATGGCAATTCATCATGTTCTCATGAAACCTCACAGCCTGAGGCTTCAGGATTTGGAAGCTGAGCTGCCCTGGGGCGGGCAGCAGCCTGATCTGCTTGTATTGTCTCACAGTTCTGGGGGCTGGAAGTCGGAATCCAGGGGATAAGCCAGGCCTTGTACTCTGCGAAGGCACTAGAGGGAGATCCTTTCTTGTCTGTCTTAGTTTATGGTGGCCCCAGGTGTCCTTGGTTTGCACAGGCATCTTTTTGTGGCAGTCGTTTCTCTCTGTGTCTATTCTCTTTTATAAGGACACCAGTCACATAGGACAAAAAAAACAAAAAACAAAAAACTCTTGCTGTCACATCTGACCCATAGAATCCCCGTGTGTTACAGAGTAGAACTGCACTCCATAGGATTTTCTTGGCTGATATCTTTACCGAAGAAGATCGCCAGGCCTTTCTTCCACGGTGCCTTTGGGTGGGTTTGACACACCAACCTTTCAGTTAGCCACTGTTGTTAGGGGCCAATGAGTCAATTCAACTTATAGCAACCCATGTGATAGAGGAGAACTGCCCCATAGCGTTTTCTAGGCTGTAATCTTTATGGAAGCAGATCACCAGGTCTTTCTCCCACAGAGCCACTGGGTGGGTTCGAACCAGCAACCTTTGCTTAACAGTGCTTAACATTTGTGCCACCAGAGTTCTTTTTCAGTTAGCAGTTGAGCACAAACCATTTGTGCCACCCAGGGGCCCCCATATAGGACTAGGACTCACCTTACTCCAGTATGACCTCTTGTTAACCGATAATATCTTCAAAGACCCTATTTCCAAACGAGTTTATATTCACAGATACAGGGGTTAAGGCTCCAACATCATTTCTGGCAGACACAATTCAATCCATAACAACACCCTAGGTCCCCTGATTAAAAACCTCCAGGACTTGCCACTGCCTACCAGCCCCAGCTCCCAAGCCTGACCTGGCCTAAGTCTCCAGCCCCATATCCTGCTTCCCCCCTTTAGGGCACAGGCTGGGTGGGAGGCTTCTGAATAGTTTACCATTTGCTGAAAATGGCACGGTTTTTCATAACCGAGCATCTTCCCAATTTCTGTTGCAATTTCCTTTGTTCCATGAGTTATTTAGAAGTGTGTTGCTTAATTTCTAAGCTTTTGAAAAATTTCTAGTCGTCTGTGTTATTGATTTCTTCTTTAATCCCACTTGGTGAGAGAAGAGACTGTAGTGAATTCAATTCTCTGAAATGACTGAGACTCACTTGGTGGCCCAGCATGTGGTCTGTTTTGGTAGATGCCCTGTGGGCACCTGAAGAGAGTGTGTTTTCTGCAGTTCTCGGGTGCATGTTCTATATGTGGCCATTAGGTCCAATTTGTTCCTTGTCTATAACCTTAACCAGCTTCTTGTCTGCTTGTTCTGTCAGTTCTTGACAGCAGTAGGTTACATTTCTGATTGTTTATTTCTCCTTTTAGTTCTTTAGCTTTTGCTTTATATGTTTTGAAGCTGTGTTATTAGGATGTCTGTGTCCTCTAGTGCTGCTATAACAGAGATACCACAAGTGGGTGACTTCAGAGGAGCCCTAGTGGCACAGTGGTTAAGAGCGACAGCTGCTTGTTTAATCTCTTTTATATCTCAAAAAGATTGACTTAAGACACACCCTAAACTGATACTGTCTCCTTAACATAACAAAGAAAACCCATTCCCAAATGGGATTATAACCACAGGTATGCAAAAAAAACCAAACCCATTGCCATCAAGTTGACTCCTGCTGATAGCGACCCTATAGGACACGAGTAGAACTGCCCCATAGGGTTTCCAAGGAGCAGCTGGTGGATTCGAGCTGCCGAGGTATAAAACCAAAAACCCATTGCTGCTGAGTCGATGCTGACTCATAGCGACCCTATAGGACAGAGTAGAAATGCCCCACAGGATTTCCAAGGAGCGGCTGGTGGATTCGAACTGCAAACCTTTTGGTTAACAGCCGAACTCTTTTTTTTTTTTTTTAATTGTTGTAGTTTCAGTGAAAGTTTACACTTCAGGTTAGTCCTTCATACAAAAATTTATACATACATTGTTATGTGACCCTAGTTGCTCTCCCTATACTGTGACAGCACACTCCTCCTTTCCACTCCTGATTTCCCGTGTCCATTCAGTCGGCTCCTGACCCTCTCTGCCTTCTCATCTCGCCTCTGGACAGGAGCTGCCCATTTAGTCTCATGTATCTACTTGAGCTAAGAAGCACACTCTTCACGAGTATCATTTTATGTCCCACAGTCCAGTCCAATCTTTGTCTGAAGAGTTGGCCTCATGAATTGTTTTAGTTCTGAATTGACAGCCCGGGGGCCATGCTTTCTGGGGTTCCTCCAGTCTCAGTCAGACCATTAAGTCTGGTCTTTCTACTAGAATTTGAGTTCTGCATCCCATCCTTCCCCCGCTCCATTAGGGACTCCCTGTTGTGTTCCCTGCCACGGCTAACAGCCAAACTCTTAACCACTGCGCCACCACGGCTCTGCCGAGGCATAGGGGTTAGGATTTACAACACATTTTCTGGTGGGGGACACAATTCAATCCATAACATGTGAGTATGCAGATTTAGGTTTGTTATATCTTTCTGCTGAATTGAAACCTTTCATCATTGGCGCAAATGGTTAAGCACTCAACTACTAGCCAAAGAGTTGTAGGTGCAAACTCACCCAGATGTGCCTCAGAAGACAGGCCTGGCGATCTGCTTCTAAAAGGTCACAGCCTTGAAAACCCTGTGGAAAACAGTTCTACTCACCATGAGCCAGGATCGACTCAAGGGCAACTAACAACGTATCTTTCTGTTGCATTGAACCCTTTTATCATTAGAAAATGTCCCTTTTATCTCTAGTTATATTGCTTAGGGGCCCTGGTGGCACAATGGTTAAGCACTCAGCCACTAACCAAATGTTGGAGGTTCGAACCCACCAGCCACTCAGAGGAAGAAAGATGTGGATACATAGTTTAATCTCTAGTATAAGTTTACAGTATTTTTCTCTCATCACCTTGAAGATGTCCTTCCTTTAAAGCCTTCTGGATTCCATCATTTCTGTTGAGAAATCAGCCATCAGTCTTATGTGTCCTCCCCACCCATGGCCCCAGTTGCTCTAA